GTGGGGCCTGAAGGGACAGGATATGTCACATTCCTTAGCAAACTGAGGCAGAGGGTAAAGATCTGGCAGTCAGTGTAGATAATGAATATCTGGTTATCACTAGCTATCACATTTCCCAGGTCAATGGGTTGTTAATAGCTAACCTCTCCGATAGCACTTCCCAGCACAAGGAGTTGGTAAGGATTAACCCCTATGGCCCCTGACCTTCCTGCCCTTAGGCACATACACAAAGATTAAAAGGGGGGTCTATAAAAGAGCAAGGCACACCCACTCCCACAGACTCCCAGCTCTGGGGCCCCTTTTTCTTGGAAGAAGTCTGTTGCTCTCTCTTTTCTTAAATAAAACTTGCTTCCTTCACTTGCCTCAGCCTTTCTCAGGTGTTTAATCTTCAACGGGAGGCGAGGGTCAGGGGGTGGGGGTGGGAACAAGGACCTGTTTCTGATCTCAAAGACCAGTATCAGTAATGTGTGTCATTTAAACCTCTACTCACTTCTCCCTCCTATATTATTTTGAAGCAAATACTAGATATTGTAGCATTTATGTGTAAATATTTTAGTTATATCTCCAAAAGATAAAAACTCTTTAAGACATAAACTACAATACCATTTTCATACCTGAAATATTAATAAAAATCCCTTAGTATCATTATATATATTCAATTATTGGCCAAAGTTCTAAATTTTTCATAAGTTTTTTTTTTAAGATTCAGAGTTAGTTTATTTGAATAAAGACACCCTCCCAGCTCCCCTGAAAAAAAGGCTAACACATTGTATTTAGCTAATATATTTCTTAATTTCCTTAATAGGTTATTCCTCCCTCTTCCTCCTACCCTCTGCTATTTATTTACTGCAGAGACCAGGTCATTTAATCTGTAACTTCTTCAAGGTCTGAACTTTGCTGACTGTCTCCCTGTGGTGCTGTTCAATATAGCCCCTGTCTTCCATATTTATGTAAAATTGTTAGGTCACAGAATTTTGAGTTAGAATGGTATACAAATTTATCTATTTGACATGCTCATTTTATGGAAATTGAGGCCTAGAAAAATAGTATCCTAGTGAAAGATGAGAGTTGAGAGACCTAGGTTTAAGATACATAATTGCTGACAAGATGGTAAAAGGAATACTTACCTTTTTTAGAAAATAACATTAACCATATGAAAGTGCAATTTATATTTATTTATTACAAATCATTCTTATTTATTCAACAAAGCAGATTAGTAGGTTTCAAAGATATAGTTAACATTTGATTAATTGTACAGTTCTGTGATACATACATACACAAAACCCAAAGTCTGCAGAGGTTATGAAACAGTCTCAGGCTCAAACTTTTAGGTAATTTTTAACAGGTATTCCCAGCAGTTTATTGTGTTGTATACATATTTTGTTTTTCTCCTTTCTTTTTTTCATTACTGGCTATTGAACCCAGGGCCTTACACATGCTTCCTAAGATCTCTACCACTGAGCTACATCTCCATCCCTAAGTTTGAGACAGGATCTCACTGAGTTGCCCAGGCTGGCCTTGAACTTGCAATCCCAATCCTTCTGGCTTCAGCCTTCTGAGTAGCTGTGATTACAGATGTGTCACCTTGCCCAGTTTGTATATATTTTAAAAATGACAACATTAGTAAAAATTCACTCAGGGTGTTTTTCTTTAGACCTTTCCTTCTCATCACATGTGGCTCAAAGCACTGATATTTCTGTATGCCTATTAAATTTTCTGTTTAATAGAAAGCTTCCAAAAATATTTCTCAAGGAATGAAAATATATCTTACCTCAGCGAGTCACAAAAGATGTTATCTATGTTCCATAATAAAAATCCCAATAAAAATAAACCCAAAGATGTATACCCCAGTCCTCTAAGCCATGGATAAACCCTGTAGAAAAAAAAAAGCAAAATGAAAATTTTTCAAATCATGTCACGAACACAGCTTGCAGTCATCATTTTCTGAGAAGGAAAGGTTTTCATTAGTATTAAAAGCATTTTATTTCATTAGTATTAAATGCATTTTATTTAATGCATTTGCTGAAGATGTGTAGGGCCAGTCTTCCTTCCTTCCTAAACTGGGGATTTACCCAGGGGTACTTTACCACTGAGCTACACCCCCAGCCCATTTTTATTTTTACTTTAAGACAGAATCTTGCTAAATTTCCCAGGCTGGCTTTGAACCTGTGATCCTCCTGCCTCAGCCTCGAGAGAGTTTCTGGAAAAATAGGGTGTGCCACCATGCCTTGCCCCATTTTAAAAAATGTGGGTCTTGCTGTGTTGCCCAGGGCTCAAGTGATCCTCCTGTCTCAACCTTGTGAGTAGATAGGACTACAGGTGTGTAATATGCCCAGTCATTTCCCAAATATATTTGCCATTAAAAGGTACTGACAGAGAATGGGCCACCAAGACTTGCTATCAGGAGGCTAATCTGAAAGTACTCACCAACTCACCAAAATTTAAAACACACACACACACACACACACACAAAGACACATATTCATTAAGTCACTTGATAATATATACTGAGCGCTTACCATTTTCCTAGCATTGTTACAAGCATTTGAGAGGTTGGCAGTGCGTAAGATAAAGTCCTTGCTCTCAAGGAATTTACAGTATAAAGTGAGAGGGTAAATAAAAACAAAACTGATTAAAAAAAAAAAAGGCCTGGGAAGGGGAAAGATGGTGATATGGAGGTATTATCTGGATGGGGTGTGCACACACAAACACACACTCAATCTAAAATCTTTAAATAAATCCTTGAAGTATGTATTATTCTTTTTTACTTTACTAGTAAGGAAACTAAAGCTTGGTGAGTTACCCCAAATAATAATAACAGCTTATTTATTTTTTATAGTTTCAATGAGGTAAGCTGTATATATTTTTAAAGTATATATCTGATGAGTACATCTGTACATACCCATGAAACAACCACGTCAATCAAGATAATCAACATAACATCACCACCTCCAAAAGCTCAGTTTGCTTTTTTTTAGAATGGAATTATGCCATATACAGTCTTTAATGTATGGCTTTTTTTCTTTTGACATTTTGAGATTCATTTCATGTCGTTATGTGTATCAGTACTTAATTTCTTTTTATTGCTCAGTAGTATTCCGTTGTATGGATATAGTACAATTTATTTATCTGTCCAAATGCTGGTGAGCATATTTGTTTCCAGTTGAGCATTACAAATAAAGCAACTATAAACATCCATGAAATGAATGCTAGGAAAGAAATGGCTGGGTTGATTGGCAGATAAATGTTTGACTTTTTTTTTTTTTTTTTGGTGATACTTTGGATTAAACCAGGACCATGTACCTGTTAGGCAAGTGGCTACCACTGAGCTGGATCTCCAAGTCTCCAACTGTTTTCCTAAGGCATGGCTCTAATTTACATTTTTACTAGTTTTAGTTATTCCTCATCCTCAATACTTGGTATGTTCTTTTCATTTTAGCTATTCTAGCAGTGCTATTTCATTGTAGTTATTCTCTTTCTTCTTATTTTTTTAGTGCTAAGAATGAACCCAGGGGCATTTAATTACATCCCCAGTTCTTTTCATATTTTTATTTTGAGACAGTATCTAGCTAAATTGCCCAAGCTGGCCTAAAACTCTCCTGCCTTAGCTTCTGGTGTTACTGGGATTACAGGTGTGTACTACTGTGCCTGGATCATTGCTTTTTTTTTTTTTTTTT